GGAGACAATGAAGAAGCGCACGAGACGCCGAGGCCATTTTATCGTTGCCGTCGTGGCTATTACGCATGACGCGCCGGCAGACGAGAGCGTTGGCATTTACTTGAACTCGGCTTGTCCTGGTCGGCGTCAAGCACGAGTTGAGATTTCTTCTTATCAATGGCAGGTAACGTTACCCACGATAAGTGATGTAGATGTTCGTTGTAGCGGGTGGGAAGGACGGTGGTGTGCTGCGGATTTCGTCTGCTGAGGTTCCGGGCGAGGGGGAGAGAAAGCGGACTGGGACAGGTGGATTTAATGGATACGTGGCGTAGGTCCTTTGTCAGTTGACTAGGCCACGTATATTTGAAGGGGAAAGGAGGAAAGAGGATGGGTGGAAATGTTTCTACCGGATTCTGCCGGGGTAGGGGTAAATTGTTTGTTTCCAGAGTGCATTTATAATGGGAATGGAGGGTAGCTTTACAGGCAAGGTTTAGGGAAAGGGTTGAGAGGGGCAACGAGGATACGAACGAGAAGCTCAAGGCAAAAACAGGAGACAGCAATAAAGACAAAAAGAAAACACAGCACTAAAAGGAAAAGTAAATTAAAGTAAACTTGAGCCTAGAAATTAAAGCGAAAAAAAAAAATCTAAATTTATGGATAAAAGCAAGAAAGCCTGCCCTATCCCCGCCTATCACTCCCGACCACGTTACCCAGTGCATTATCTGTGACTTGTAATAAGTCTTATTTTTCGTATAGCTCATTTGTTTCAAGGAAAGTGGTATTTTGGACTCGTAAGTGCAGTAATAAGAGTGAGACTTTAAAGTGTTTAAACTCATTTTAATAAAGTGTAATAAATTTCGCCAGTAACATACTCAAGAAACGTATGATTTCAGCTACGAGGCTACTGGGACGGATGTGGCGGTAAACTGGGGAAGAAGGTGGAAGCTTCAGGGATGGGGGAGGGAGATGAGGCGGTTGTATAGTATAAGTTTATTGTATAGCATAAGTTTGTTTAGCGTTTTTTTATTGTATAGCATAAATTTGTATAGCGTTTTATTATATAAATTTGTATTGCATTTTACTGTATAAGTTTGTATAACATTTTATTGCATGAAATTGTATAGTATTTTATTGTATAAATTTGTATAATATTTTATTGTGTAAATAGTAAAGCCATGGCTATCTTTTTAATAGACGAAGAGTTATTGGCCTTAGATATTTTATGAGCGAGTTTGCATTCGCAGGCGTACGTATATTGTGTAGCCGAGTCGAGTTTAGTAGTTGCTGAGAATTGCGATCCTCGTGGATCTGGTATGCAAGTTTTGGAGGTCTGGTATGCAAGTTTTGGAGCACAGCGTGTCCCGAAACAAGTGAGGGATCACGTGTCTTGTTCCTTTTCGAAAGTCCACCACGAGAATTCTGTCTCCTCCGTTCGGGCCCCCAATGGCACATTTTTCATGCCAAGCATAAAAAGTTCACATAGGCTATTTCCCCCAGAGTTCGAACTCCTGTCTCCAGTTCCTTTTCCTTAACTTCCTTCCCATCAGTAAGTTTGTCCCCGCCCGCTCTCTCTCTTTTCCCCTGGTACAACCGCAAAGATACGAACCATTTCCTCCTACTCTTACTGTGCGTTTTTTGCAGCTATGCAATGCAGAAAACGCATATTGACGAGGGGTTGTCTGTGCGTCTGTAACGCACTTTCATCTCAAGACCTATAAAAGCTGCGGGGCTGGAATCTCGGGAACTTAGTCTACATGCACGTGCCAGCCCCAATCCCCAAAATGGGCGCCAACACCCGTGTTTGGGCCCGCCAAAATTTTTTTGGGGTATGTTCATAACTCGGGGATCTGAGGGGCTAGAACGCTGAAATTTCAGGGTGATGTTTCCCGTCCAAGTGGATGTTATGCAGTGGAACTCATTCTCCGGGTAAGCGTGGTACCCGCGTACGGGCCCGCCAAAATTTTTTCCGGACAAGTTCATAACTCGGGGATCTGAGAAGCTAGAACGCTGAAATCTTAGGGCAGTGTTCCCCGTTCAAGTGGGTGTTAATGCGCTGGAACCCATTCTCCGGGTAAGGGTGGTACCCGCGTGCGGCCCACCATAATTTTCTTTTGGGTAAGTTCATAACTCAGGGACCCAAGAAGCTAGAACGCTGAAATGTTAGGTGGATGTTCCCCGTCCAGGTAAGTATTAACGAGTTCAAACCCTGCCCGCGAGTAAGCGTGGTACCTACATGCAAGCCCTTGAAAGTTTCTTCCGAGTAAGTTGCTATCTCGGGGAAGTGAGAAGTTTGAAGACTGGGATTTCGAAGGGATGTTTCCTGACAATCCTGGCGGACGGTCTGAAATTGTTTTAGCTAGAGGCATCTGCTGGAAAAACCAGCGCTCTTTGCGACAAAAATCTGCGAGGAGCTATGCAAAAACTGCATGTTCGCACGGGTAGCCCGTGCGTTGGCCAATTATTGTAATTGCAATCAACGACGATTGCATCATCATTTTGCTCTGTTTCTGTTACGTCTTGGTGCGATCAGTGTGGTGTGCGGATGAAGTAGCTGGCGATGATGTGGAGGGCGTGTGTGTTTCAGGTGGAGATTGCTGCGCACTTTTGTCTTAGAGGGAGCCACAGGAATCGCGGTACTTGAAGGAGGAAGTGCGGTAAATCGAGTAGGAGGGAGTTAGACGAGGGGTTACGGGGATTTCGTTGAGGGGCGAGGAACGTTTGAAAGGGAAAATGAGGGAATTTGAATCAAGGAGTCTATAACTTAGCCAGCCACACGAATAGCTAAACGTAGATTTGTTGAGGTACCCTGTCCGGAAACCGCATTCACGTGGGGAAAGAGGGGAAGGGAATGGCCTGGTAAGTTCAGAGTGACCTGAGGGGACATTCAACTGCGTGGATAAATGAGAGAATTTTCACGCTTGGGACGTGAGATCTAGCTGTAGGCAGGATGAATTGAATGTGGTTTCCTTATAATATCGTTGAGAAGGCTACACTGTGTGGATTTTCGTATCGTGGATATAAGCGATTCCAGAGGATAGGGAGCGATTGAGCCCTTCGTCCGGCTACCGCAGCG